AGGTCTTTGCATAATGTGTCTGAAGTAGGATAATTTGAGCCTGGTCATTTGTGCCTTGAGTTCAATGATCCATTTGTTTGTTTTCTTGGTTGTCCATAGTATTCCCTATAACCATATCCCCACAAGTCAAACATCTGATGCCAATGAACCATGCATGGTGTCGCCCACCTTGTCTCTGCTCTTGCAACAGGCCCCAAATGCCCAAAGTCCACAGTGCCTTCTTCCCACCGCCGACCTTGGCACTCCACCAGGCTCCAGACATGCGAGCCCCAGCACACCGCAGGTTACCTCTGACCTCTGGAATCCAATACTTCCAACTCTCAGGGGTCCAAAGGCTTTGAGACTTCAGCTCCAGCGACAGCTCTGCCCCTTGTGCATCCTCCAGCCTTGCCTGTGGTAGTCAAGGGTCCAGGTGCTTCCAGGGCTTCATGGAAGACCAGGGAACTAGTGAGCACTATATCAGCTTCCTGCCCTTACCTCCCAATGTCAGAGGGGTAGCTGTCACAACCACTATGATTGTGGCACTCCCAGACACAACAAACTTAGCTAAAAATACCAAAACTCACAGTCACACCAAGCCACTGGTTAACAGTTAGCCCTTTGGATGACATCTTGAACTTACTCTTCTTCACCCAAGCCTGTTTCCTTTATTCTGCCTGTCCCTGTGTCACGGATATGATAGAGAAAACAATCTGGGATTATTTTAGTGTTGCAACTCACCCCTACAGTCTTTCCAGTTGATACTGGTTATCTTGGTCATGCTGTTCTGTCCTATTTTAATTTTAATTTCTGGACTTCTGTGCCTTTACTTTTCTAAGGAATAGATTTCCTCATGTTGGATTTTCTTCTCGTCTTCGTCATACTTTTTGTTCTCTGTAGCTATCTCTGACTAGTCAACTTTTCCTTGGTTTTTCTCAAAGGCTGTTCCTCCTATCCTCCATTCGATCTGCACTCTTATATATTCAAGAGGTAAGATCTTATTGTTATGTGTAAGTTGTTATTTATTCAATTGATTGTTTCGCCATAAATATTTCCCTGTGCAATATTTTGAAAATTAAGCCTGCAGTTAACATGCAATAAACAAATTTAAAAATTACAGCTAATCAATAAAAGCAGCAGTAAAATAATCATGTTGAAAGCTATCACAGCTTGAACAATGTCTAATAGACCAGTCTGAAAATGTTCTTAGAAGTAAAATCCAGCAAATAGTGGAGGCTGGTAAAAGGACTTCTTGGTTAAAAAGGAGGCATATTAAGTCCCATGTATTTATTTCCTTGAGACTGCAAACCTAAACATGCTAATCTTGGGAATAAGCTCCAGCGGATGCCAGATTTACTTCTGACTTACTTGCTTATGAGGATACATAACAGGAGACAGTATAAAAAAAGGCAAAATAAATAGTAGCAGTTTTACATTGAAAAGGCTGTCACTACAATGCATTCTCAAAGATTTGTACCCAAGTTGTGAAGTTCTGAGCTATTTTTCCCAAATATATTATTAAAAAATTAATTTGATAAAAGGTTTCCTTGTTCTGGAATAAATGAAATGGGGCAATAAAATTGGTGTTATTTCTCAAAATATATACTGTGAAAATTATTTTCTAAGACATAAGATTAACATATAAAAGGCAATGTATGAAATGGTGCCTGAATGTGATGGTGCAAGGCTATAAACATATGGAGGGATGTAATGAATGGTGTTGGTGTAGAGCAGTGTTTCTCAGCCTTATCAGCTTTAAGATGTGTGGACTTCAACTCCCAGTAAACATATGGAGGGATGTAATGAATGGTGTTGGTGTAGAGCAGTGTTTCTCAGCCTTATCAGCTTTAAGATGTGTGGACTTCAACTCCCAGTAAACATATGGAGGGATGTAATGAATGGTGTTGGTGTAGAGCAGTGTTTCTCAGCCTTATCAGCTTTAAGATGTGTGGACTTCAACTCCCAGAATTCCCCAGCCAGCATGCTTCCCCAGTCCACATATCTTAAAATTGCTGAGGTTGAGAAACACTGGTGTAAAGGAATTTTAATTATATCTCTTACTTCAAGCTTTTGATATATTTGTCTTACTATTTCTCATTCCCTTTCCATGCTTTGAATAAAGCTGCTTAGCCCTAAAGGGAATATATGATGGCTATGCTTGTATGTAAAATTATTATCTCAGAATGTGCTAGTTTCTGCGTATAGTGTGGACATATTAAATATTCAAATAACTTCAGTGTTTGTGGAGTTGATACTGAAACATGCTGCTGGTCCCTAATATTGTTTTTGTTGGGATAAAGCATTTTCTTTTGTTTATCACAATGTTTGTGGTTTCTAGCTTTTAACTAGTATTGTTTCCTAATTTTCAAAATGATAGATTCATTTTGTTTTGGTCTCCAAGTGCCTGTACCATGTAGAGAAAGAACAGCCAACATTTTTGGTCTTTTTTCTGGGGGGGGCGGGGGGAGGAGATATCTTTTTTTTTTTTAAGCAAAATTAATGTGTTAAGCTTACTGGAAGCTTAGCTCCTATTGGAACTAAAGCCTAATTAGTATTATTCCTTTTTAAAAAACAAACAAAATCAAGCTACTGAAGTTCAGTAGGATTGGGTTTAGAGGCACAAAAGAGGGACTAGTATTCCTTGCTAATTAACTCTAAAGATGCCTGAATGTATATTTTTTGATATAATGGAGGAAAATTTTGCAAAATATTTTATAAAGTTGTATTTTGCATTGAAAAAACTGACAAATATATCCCCTAATATCCAAAGTTGGGAAAACACTCTGTATTTTCTTCATACAGTATATTTACCAAAGATTTTCCCCCAGAGCATGTTTTTGGAAAATTTTATAACACAAATAAATAGAATGATAAAGTATTTTGTATCTAGGAATTTGTTATATATCTTGCTTGAATATCTTAAGGGTGTGCCATAGAATAGGTGAAAGCCATTATTATTATTATTATTATTATTATTATTATTATTATTATTA